CCATGCTGCTGGATCTGTGGTTGCATGACAACTTGTCCATGCTGCTGGGGTTGTGGCTGCATCCCTTGTCCCTGTTGGATCTGTGGCTGGATGGTTGGCTCGGTTTGTGGCTGCTTGTCTTGCCTACCCATACCCATCACAGCTTCCAAGGGAAGCTGGACCTTCCTGGGAGGCTCACTTTCTGGCAGGAAAGCCTGATAGCCAGTCTCTCCAAATTGCAATGTTGGTGCCTCAAGCCAGGACAACAAGATTAAACTACCACAGGATAATTGAAGGAATGTGTTTGATCAGTTACATATTGATCAGCAAAGAAGGTGTCAGGTCTCTTGAATCATACATGCTGCTTGCAACCTCTAATTGCCACACCCACTCATGCCCACCAGTCACACACCACAACCACTCCCTTGCCTGGGATGACAAGGACATGTCTGATGCAGCAGAGGATGCTGTTGAACAGGCTTGTGGTGGGGGGCAAGCCAGTGCTGCCAGAGGCCACAGACTCCCCTGAGACAGAGTGCCCCTGATGAAAGGTTATTCCATGTCAAACAATCTGAGCCACCAAGTCCATATTAAGTAAATCCCTTGGCAACTTGGGGTCTTGGTGTCCAGTGAAGTCATGCCTACATCATTCTTGGTGCCCAGGATTGCCACTGCACCACACACTTTTAATTTAACAATGACTCACCATTGCATCATTGTTTTAGCTGAGGCTCCCTTGAGATTCTTGGTTGGCACCTGTGCCAGCAAGTTCTGCACTTGCCTGGCTTGCCAGTGTTGGGCTGGAATGCCTTAGACAGCACCACATCAAGCACACTACAATAAAGATGACAGTGAGGCCAATGCTTTCTCAAGGCATCTACTAAAGAATTTGAAAGATCAATTGAAACTTCACTGGCAGTGAGGATGTCATGAACCTTGGCAGTAAGGCTAATAATATTATGCTGATGCCAAGTTTACACATCATTAACAACAAGCCAAGGCACAATTACTGCAGTAGTTGATGTAGTTCTTTGCCCATTCAAGTTCTTGATTGTGGACAGCTGCTTCAGCCTTGGTCTATTGGCCATGTGGTAGTTGGGTTTCAACAGACCTTGAGGCATGCAGTGACCTGATGACCTGATGATGCCCCAGTCAGTCAATCAATCAGTCAGTGACCTGATGCCTAGCCTCAGTCACCAGTCATTCAGACTCCAACAAGTTAAGTCCAGCCACAATCTTTGACCACCACTCAGAAATGGCAGCATCCTTGTTGAAGAGGGTGTCCATCTTCATGGTGTACCTTGGCAGGTTTCAACTAAGCCCACTAGTTCACATCTGTGGTTAGTCACCTGGGTTCTCTTATAATACCAGAGTGGATACATAGTAACAGGTTTAATACAGTACAATTAATTAGATATTCTAGCAACATGCTTTGGCACAGTTCACTGCCATATTGCCAAGCCAAGCCAAGCTGCTCAGAAGTGGTGTTGGTCCCTGCCAGCATAAGATGGAACTGGCATTGCCTGTAGATCATACTGACAGGCGCACCCTTGGGGGCAATCACAAATTTCAAACCAGATGCTCTGGCATAGGCAGTGACTTCTCCATCCTTCCTGAGGAAACTCAAGGCAGTGTCAGTGTCAGTGTCACACCATTACATTTTCACACCCATCATTAGTCCTGTTTGCAAGGCACCAACTACCATCCCACCAAAATGCACCCAGTGACAGTGAGTAGCCATTACATTGAACTGTCAACTGTTAAAGCCAAAGGCACCCCACCACTGTATGGTAAGGTGGCTGATTCTGCACTTGCTTTTGCCCTTCTCCTGGTTGCCCCTCTCCAGCAGCAGGCCCCTCCTCTGCCTCAATGTTCTCTGGCTGGTTGTCTGGCCTGACAGTCAGTCACTGGGGTCCCAATTCAAATTCTGTTTACCTTATCATTCTTCACTTCAAGAGCTTGGAATATCATCACTCATCAATCATTTGGAATAGACACTTGTCAAAGCACTAACATGGCAAAGCCCACTCATCAATGTCAAATGCAGTGCAGGTTGCTTTTTGGCTTTCTTGAAGAGGTTCTTCCATCCCAGTCTGCAGGCCACAGCATCGATGTTCCTCAAGTCCTCCTGGATGAAGTGAAGCTCTCTTTTGCCAATCACATACACTTGTAAGGGGCCTAGAGTTTATAGCCAAACTCTGTTATTATTCCTCTTGATCTTAGTCACCCATCCAACCATTTATAATATAGGTGAGTGCTGAGACTTCCCTGAGGAACAATCAAACTGTTGTGGCCTTCTTCACACACTAAGTGTTTGTATTCCCTGGGCCCCCCCACCCCCTACTTCAATTGCAAGGTGTCAATGTCTCAGGAGTCCACTTACTTGGTATTAAGAAAGATGGCTGTTATGCCATTTGCTGCCAAGTAGCAGTGAGGCCATCTGACTCTTTCTCACCTCTGGCCTTCACTGTCCTGACATGGGACTCCTGAAGGACATTCTTCCTCAGCCACACAGTCACTCCAGTCTCAGTGAGTCTTAAGGTTGTCCAACCAAAGTTTAGAAGTACAATTTACAATGTCAATCCACACTGAACCAAGATCATGGTGAGGCAGGATGAGGTTGATTGATATGGCACTGCCTCAGTTACTTAGCATACACATGCCTTCACTCAAACCATCAGAAACCAGAATCTCAGTCATGATTTAATTTAGCAAGGTGTCAGCTCTCCTCTGGACCTTACCAAGAGGTCCTTCACTGAAGTCCTTGGCCCCAGCTTGGTCTGTATCCACAGGAGCTGGTCCAAGTCTTGGTCACTGAGGCCACTGGTCAGGCCTTGGATGGGTGAAACCACCAGCTCATCAAGTCAAGACACCTGAACCTGTCCTTGTACAACAGCTTACAAACCTCAATGAACTTGCCCCTTTTGTACTGCAGTCAAATGTTTGCCCTACAAGCCATTATAAGATGCTGAGAAGCTTGTCCCAAATCTATCACCATCAATCAGCTTCAGGAAGCGCACTTTATACTTCCTTGGAACTGTATTTTTCCTGGTGGCTGCCTTCATCTCCCCAGATGCTCCAGCAGCCTGGTACTCAGGGCCCAGGTGTACCCAGTGCCTGAGGCTCAATGATGTGTGCAGTGCAAATATGTGTTTTGCTGACGCCAAATTAGAGCAACTTTCTGAACAGTGATATGGAGCTGTCACACATTGTAGGCAAGTGGCTTTGGAATCTTCTTTTTGTCAAGCTCTCCCTCTGAAAGATCTGATGAGGAGGTGTCATCTGAACCTTACTGTCCAGAATGAATGGGCAACAGCACAACTACTTACTCTTCACAAGGACTGATTTCAAAGCATCTAAATCTGAATGATACATGAATCAAGGCCAGGTAACTCTCTGATGATTTCTTGTCCTTTTTCCCACCCTTACTCTTACGCTTCTTCTTCTTGTTGCTCTCCTTCTTCTTCTTCTTCTGGTGCTTGCTGCTCTTGGCCTTCTTCTTGGATGCCCTTACAAACAGGATGTCACAGAAGTGGGAGTTCTTCAACAACAGAACTGCTGAAGTAAAACATCTCAGATGCCACATCACATTCCCTCATTATGATGCAAACTGTCACAAACACACTCACACATTGCCACTGTATAAAGTATTATATGATCAATGAAGTGCTGCCAAAAGTCGAGCTGGAGACTGAACCAGAGTCTGATTCATTCAGGTCATCATCTTCTTGGTCCTCCTGATTGGGAGGCATCATCCCCATACCTCCCATGCCCATGCCCATCATGGGAGCTGGCATCATGTTGCCTTGAAACCATTGAGGCAACCCATTGCTGGAGTTAAAGGGGTGCCTGTAGTCAGATGGGAGACTACATCTCCCAGGCACCCCCTTTCTTTTGTGACTTGGCATGACTGCCAACTACAGCCAGGGTCAGGCTTGGACCTGAGAAAAGGCTTCAGTGCCAGGCCACATGACCAAATGTTCCACACATTGACCAACTCTCCCAATGAACTCCCAGTGGATTCCCAATGAACTCCCACTGTATTCCCACAGCATTCTCACTGGGAAAACTGCAGGTTTTTGCGGTACATAAAATTGTGTTTTGATTGTTAAAGCAGCACCACTTGAAGAGACATGGCTTGCACTTGTAAGATAGATGAAGCAGCAGGGTGTCGACTGTCCACGGGCGTCCTCTTCACGCTGTCATTCTGACCTTGCATCATTGTTTGAAACACACAAGAACCGCAAGGAAACGCAAGAACCATCCAAGGCCATGCCTCCAGGCTGTGAGTTCCTTTTCCACTGTTTTGGGATGTCGACCTTGCCATGGAGTTGGAGGTCAGTGGGGACCTTAGGTGGATTGGATGTGGGGATTTGGAGGTGGGGATCAAGATATATGATTGTCCCATAGGGTCCAGATACCTCCTCAGTCAGGATGATCTTGAAGGTGAAGATACTCCCAGGTGCTAAAGGACATCCAATTCGGAGGTACTACCTGGACCCTTAGGGTGTGAATTGAAACGAATTCATGCACTATCGATATGGCAAAACTTTGCAGAATGGTTTCGTTTCGTATAGAAAACACATCCTTGCGTCACCCACATACTCAACCAGCGGGTGGAGGCCGACCACCGAACACCTGATGAGATGGGCCGTGCGGAACCGTCTCAACGAGGGGTGAAACCGTAGCATCCGTCTCAACGACGGTGCCTGAACCGTCTCGCCGGGGGTGAACCATCAGCCACGCAGCTTTCAGGGCGGTTCATGCAGCAACCATCACGGCGGTTCATCCATCCGTCGGGATTGCCCGCGCTGGCCCCCACATGACGGAGGTGAGGAACTTCCTCGGTGACGGCATTTTAGGCCAAAGAGTTCTCCATGCAAGGCATCTCCGGATTCGTTCGTGCACTGGGTGGCTCAGACCGTGGCATCTCCATGCCGAGGTCTGGAAGAGTTGCTACAACACTTGAGGCAGAACCAAACACGGGTGACGAACGGGTCACGAAATGGGATTCAGAATCGGGTCCATGTATTGAGTGTATCGACCTCCAGGACCTTCCAACATCGACCTCTGAAGAGGATTGGTAGAACCGTGACCTGAAATCAATTCCTTACTTTGTGACCGACCGCTGCCGGGATCTCATTCGGACGGTCGCGACCGGTGTCGGTCCTGGAGGTTGGAAGTTTCAGTTTTTGCTCTTGTTTCACTGGCTTCTCTTTCCTTTCGGTCAAGGTTTCTTTTGTAACCATTATCAGGACCTTCCAACAGGTCACCACCTGCGACTTTTAAGTCGGAGACCTTGTTGGTTTCGGTGCTGGTATATACAGATCAGCATGGTATGGATGAATCATGCTTTCTGGTATGGTTCCAGCACCGACCCTTCGCTCCTCTCAGCTGAACGAGCTTTGGGCATGGAACGAACGAACTCGAACTCGCTGGAGACTGAGGTGATGAATAGAGACCGTAGACCGGGGTTCCTGGGGTACCCGTCACCTGGGGTACCCAACTGGGATATATAGTATATGATATAGTCTATATATATATATAGGGTCCTGAAAACCTCTGTTGGGAGTTTGGGCTGCTTGTCTTTTGCCGACATGTCTTTTCGGGCGAAGACGCGTAAATGGCGACGTCCCCCATTCGCATTCCGGGGCTGTCCGTAGTCGTGAGAGGAATCGTTTGAACAAGCATCTGGGAGCCGCGGAGTGGTGATCAAGCGAGATGTTGAGGTGCAAACAAACATGAAAAACAACACATGAAAAGAACCTTTACATCAGCAGACACCCATGGCCCCCTCATGTGTTGGCTCTGTTTCGTTGAAGCTACCAAGCAGTGTTTTGTGACTGGTTCTCATTGGGAAGCATTTGGAGATCCTACAAAAACTCTTGGTTGCAATCCGACCCCAGCGGTGGTTCCTTTCGGGGCTTCGGTTTGAGATCTTAGAGTCAGAAATGACTGTGTCATACTTGAAACTGCTGGTAGGTCTTGCTAGCTCTCTCAGAATTCAGGACGTCCCAAGAAAATGCCTCACGAGTTCCATCCAAACATATCCAAACTCTGCATCCCGCACATTTTGGCCGCACACGGTTTCGGCCGCATGTCCTCCACCACATCCTCCCGCTAAGGGCTTTCTATTCACGCCCCTTAGTTCAAACTCCGCACGATGCAGCATGCTTTCACCTGCCGGTGAAGTCTTTCCCCTATGGATCCGCTTCCCCGTTGGAGAAGGTGATTGGAGACACGTGTGATGTTTTTTTGTATGTAGCTTTGGAGGGTCCAGTCGTACCTCGTTTCGGTTCGGTGGAAAGCTGACCTGCTTCGTCGGTGCGGAGCACGAGGAGAGCTCCGGTGACCACGGGCGGGACCTCGTCGTCCTGTGCAAAGCGCTGCTTTCGCCGGCTGGACCGGTGTGGGGTAGAGGTGGTTTCAGGAGGGGTTTGCATGGTCTTGGTTTTGGGGGGGCTGTGTGATTGTTCTTAGCTGGAGCTTCCAGGTCCAAGGTTGATCCAGAAAACACATGCATTACAGACTGTATACTATGTGGTAATATACATGTCATGCGAGTAGTTTTGTTCAGCAGATGTTGCATCTTAAAGACCGGTGCAGTGCCATTGGGTATTGACAAAAACGTTACTGTATGCCAGAAGACGTATGTATAGTATAGCCCCTGAAAGAGACTGTTCTTACATGAGTAATGAGTCATGAGTAATGTTTTTTGTTGGTCTTCATGGTGATTCAGTTTGCTGTTGTTCCTAGTCCATGGTCCATGATGAAGTTCCCTGCTGCTACACCTCACATTTGCCCAAAGGCCGCTAGGAGACCATTTCTGACAAACTACACCCTCCTCAACTAAATACTAAGCCCAGGGCTACTGGCGGCAGCATGGCGGCGTAGCGCCGGAGATTTTGATTCAAAACAAGTACTGACACCGTTCGACGGGTGTCGTGAAGAAAACGACACATGAAGAAACATGAGGATTCAATAGACCTTTTTGGAGTGGTTGCTATTGTTTTGGTGATGGCGGCAGCATGGCGTCAGGTTTGTAAGTGAAGGTGTTCTCTGTCCGTGGGATCTTCTCGTTGGGTCCCTGTCGATCGGGATGTGTATGTGCCCCACACGCAGTGGGGTCAATGCACCAGCCATCAGGGTCAACCGGGCTCCGGGTGCACAGCCACTGGCGTGGCCTCACATGTTTCCATGGATTCTGCAGCCAAGACCGCCGGGGTGCTGCCTAAGTGGGTCGGAGGATCAGACAGCGAACGAGAGTCGAGTCCCTCACGCGTCTTCCGTGACGAGAGGTTTGACTGAGCGCTCGATGTGCTCACATCCTCGTTCGGTGTCTTCTTTGTCCACCCCAAAGCCCGGTTCCAGTCTGGCGATTCCATCCAGTCGGAAGAACACATGACGATGGGTCGCGTTGTTGTTCTGCTAAAACCATTCGGATGTAAACCCAAGGGCTCCCGAGAAATCCTTTTTGGAGTGCAGGAAGTAGAGAGAGCCGGTGTTGATCAACAGCTATGTTCATCTATGTTCCTTTGTTGTAAGATGCGAATTTAGCAACGTCAAAAACCCTCAAGAAAGGAATTTAGACCAGGTTCATGAGCTGGAGAATACCATCATGTCTAGGGGAGCTTGGGTTGGTGCTTGGTCAAACAAACAGCTTCGACCTGTTGGTGCTTGTTTGGCCGCCCTGAGCACCCCGGACGGACACAACACATGAATAACCTGACGTAACGAGCGCAATCTGACCTTGATGGACGAAATCCTGCACCACCTCTGCAGGATTTGGGACCTTCAACGAGGGAGAACGAGGGCAGCAAGAAAACCGTGCGGACAGTGGTGCAGGATTTTGTCCATCAACAAGACCTCAACAGGAGCAGGACAATTCCAGGTGGATACGTTCGGACCTTTGCTCTTGAATTGGTTGAATCCTGGGTGAATGAGTCAACTGATCGGCTTCTTCTTGATAGGTAGCCATACTACGGACAACGATGGCGAGACTCCGCTCCACAGCAGGCAGCTGCACTAATGTCACATCACGCTCCCAACGACGGACTGCATGACTAAGTACATTCCATGCCATATACCTGGTAGCATAGCTTGGATCTACGTCCCTTGTTGGCTTGAAGCTCTTGTCCCGTCACGGTGAGAGGACCTGCCACGCGCTGCGGTTCGCGGTTACCTGGTTGGGACCACCTGCGCATGGGGGGGGTGTCCAACAAAGCGCACTCCTACTATAGAACTTTGTTCGCCAGCTTGGGGCTGCGTTGCAGGTGGACAGGATGATTGTAGCTACAGAGCAGTTCCCCCCCCCCACACGACGAGACTTTTGGACGTCTAAACCGGGTGAAGTTGAATATTCCAGTCGCTGAACTGAGGGCTCGACGGGCTCGACACCAGGCTGGCCATCGACGGCAACACGGCGCTGCATTGCGCTGCACCGCAAGCAGATGCACCATGCCACATCACGCTTCCAACGACGGACTGCATGCATAGCTTGGATCTACGTCGCTTGTTGGCTTGAAGCTTGTGTCCCGACCTGCCGCACGCTGCGGTTTGCAGTTACCTTGGTTAGGACCACTCGGGGGGTGTCCAACAAAGCGCACTCCTAATGCACTCCTACTATAGAACTTTGTTTGCCAGCTTGGGGCTGTGTTGCTGTTGTGGAGGATGATCAACAATTGGAAATCTTTGAGGGTGTCTCAAGAGTGCGCCACTGCAAAGCAAAGTGCCTTTCAGGACAGCTGGGAGACCAAAGGCCCCTAAAGCAGCTGACATATCAAATGCCTCCAAGTTTTAATTTATGGTGGTTGCGATTGCATAAGAGCGTTGCACTCATATGCTGGCATGCTCCGAGCCCTGCAATACTGCCAAGGTTTTGTTTCGTGCTTTCGGCGTTCCGACATGACAGAGCGAGGTCATTTTCGAGCCTTTTTGATGTGGTTCAATAAAAGCATCATATAATTTTGTTTCGGGCATATTCCAACATCACGGGATTCAATCACAGGGCCTGGGCATCACTCCCAGGAGCTCTCGGAAACCGATGATCCGCGGAGCTGGAGACCAAATTTTTCGGGATCGCGATGAGTTCGGCAAGACAATTGGGGGCCATGGAGCCATGGATTAATTGTGGGAAATGTAAGCGAATTTATATACACGTGGACATATCAGAAGGACGCCAAACCCAGCAAAGTTCGAATGAACGTGGATGGCACCTCCTGCTTACTGTTTGTCGAGACAAATGATCTTCCACGTTGCCTATGCCATCCACTTCCAAGATTATTCAGGGAATCTGTAACGGTGAAAACAAGGAACCGTCCACGTTGCATGGATTTGCGAGACTGGAAGTTCTGATTGAACCGTGTCCTGCCAAAAGATCCTTCACACCAAAACAGGGGGGGGTTCAGAGCCTCATGACTCATGGCTAAAGCAAAGCACACCTTGGCCCCAAGTTTGTGAGTCGGAAAACTCCCATAGATTGAATTGCCCCCCCCACCTGTAACAGTCCAACAATCATCACTATGACCTTTGAATTCGTCTGATTTCTTCTCACTTGGCGCTTTCCTGATGTTGAACCCCGCCGGCTAACTGTTCTTTGTCCTTTCTGCTGGCGTGACCACATGCCTCCTCTCTTATGGCAGGAGCCTGTTCATGGGCGCACTGGGCCGTCAAGGTCTTTGGGAGCTGGCCTTGGAGTCTCTTCGCGCACTTCGCCAAAAGCACGACGCCGAGGCCGGCCTTCCGCCGAGAGAAATGGGCCTGTTGGGACACCGTGGGAGATCGGGTGATGGCCGCGGTGGTTTCACCTCAGGTGCCCTAAGGATGAATTGACATGGATGATTGCAAGATGTATCCCATGCCAAGGATGGGCTGAGGTATGTGTTCTGAAGAATATATCTAATTAGAGCAAATACAAATAGTATCATTTCATTAGCTAGCTATATAATACTTTAATATATATATATATTGATTTATTCATTCGCCAGGACCTTCCCAGTGACCTTGTGAGATCCCATAATGAGGGCACTTAGGCCTTGGAAAGGTCACTTACCAATCCTGAAGAGGTCACTGGGAAGGTCCTGGCATGGGCATGTAGTTATGTGTTACATATATATATATATATGATACACTTACTTGGCCCTATCAACTGTCAGGGTCATCAGAAGAATAGCTTGATCTTGCAGGCAATCATCAGAATGTAGAGATCACTTTGACCACTTTATCTCGTGTTTCTGACCGAGGCTGGCGGATCACCCACTGGTACGGTACATCCTTGTTGATCATCACTGGACCCAAAAGAAGTGAACTGAGAGCCGACTGAAACCGCCTCTTGGATTGCTGGGTGCGTAGTTTAGTTTAGTTGTTCTTCTGACTCGAAGCCTTGAATTGAACATAGGGTAAGTTTGGGGAACTTTTGGTGTTTTTCTGCCCCTCTCTATTCAGGACGTCCGGGCGCGGTGATGTGTGTGTTTTAATGCAGAAGACGGTAGTTCCTTTTCATACCTTTCAAAAGGGAAATGCAAAATCTCACGTGAAGTTTCTTCATGTAACCATGCGAGGCCTAGAGACTCCAACGGGATCCCCCTTTTTTGACGACCATTCCTTTGATACATGTTAATATATGTTTGGCGCATCAAATGTCAAGGTCATTGCATAACCCAGACACTCCATGTATGCCATATATGCCTACATTGGGGTGGTTTGAGGGGCCAATGTAGACAAATATGGCATACACGGAGTGTTTGGGTAAACAGACGTGATTTCCCCTCCTCCGAACTGTCAGCCCGGACAACCGCGGAGACGAGGGCGATGCTCCGAGCAGCCGAACGCGGAGCGAGCAGCGGCTGGTGGCCTCCGCCATGACGGCCTGCAGGTGCGGTGGCCAAAGTCGGGAAGCCGGAAAGGCTTCGTTCGGGGGAATCCACGGTTTTTTTCAAGCGACAAGGGCTAAGACTAGTACTGGCTGAACATGGTTCATGCTGAGATGGAAGTTGTTGTTGTTGTTGTTGTTGTTGGTGGTGTGTGTGTGTGTGTGTGTCGCACTCCGTATCCAGTAGTTTTAGTTTTATAGTTTATTTTAAACACTATCTGCAGGGGGCCATCCCTCTCACCAGTGGTGGATGGCCACCGAAGAGGCCCGTGGTGAGGGCTGTAAACGTAGCTGCACCTCTAACCAGGGCAACAGAAGGAAATGGTACTCGACACACTTGTGTGTCGGTTCCTCTCCTTCTGTTGATCCCTTCTCTAGTTTACTCTACCCAGGCGGTTTCGCTCCCTAACTATTGCACGTAATTAAAGACCGCTAAGTATTCAGTAAAGGGCTAATGCAAAACAATGTTTAACAGCTCAATTGCGCTGACCACCTCGCCTTGCTGTTCCCTCATTCATTTCCTTGTGGATTATGATATTGAATGAACTTTTATCTAAGTGCTTTTCTGAACGGATTCTGGAGCTGAGTTTTGCCAAACTTTCGCAGCGGTGCATTCTACAATTCTAGACGTTGAACATGTGAATTAGCTTCAGACTAGGACTAAGACTAGGACGTTGACCTGCACAAGACAGTTGTAAATTAGGTCCAACATATGAAGTTGTTTCTTTTGATACACCATGCATCAGCATTAAATATGAATGTGAGAAGAGACTGAGCGAGCAACCTCCATTGCTCCTGGCAGTCGGGCGACGCAGTGGTCCATCGCGCTGCTGTTGCTGGGATCCACTGGCAAGCCGGATGTCAAGCTCCTCAATGCAGGCTTGCTGAGAAACATGAGTGTTGAACCCCTGGGTCCGTGTTCTTTTTTCTTGTGCTCAGAAGGCGAAGTCCTGAGAGGTACCCAATTGGCCTAGCTCAGCTAGGATCTTTCTTCCGCCATGTCCCTTAAGCAGTTTTAGCAGGTGGAATCGAGGAACAACAAAATGTTTCAAGGGTTCTTTGACTTGGCATTCCGGAACTGATCGAATACCACAGTGTTTTGGAACTTCAAGACAGGAGAGACGTCGATCGCATGCTGCCAATGTATTCGCTCTTTTCGAAGCGGTGGGTGTCCTAGACACACGTCGACACACGCCGACACGTCTGGAACCCGGCTGTCGGCCGAACTGGTGCACAGGAACTGGTGGAAGACATCCTGTTTCGACGCACCGGGAGTTGATGAATTTCAGGGAATATTTGGGATTATATGGGTGTGTATGCTGAGAATAGCTTAGAATAACTATTCTGTGATTCTAGAATAGCTATTTTTGGGATTATTATATGGTTTCAGGGTGTGTATGGTGTGTAATGAAAATATCATAGGGATATTATCCCAAAGATCCCTATAGGGAAAAGAAGCAATCGTGACTCAATCCATCGGTGGGAGGTCCCTCTATAAACATACTAAACCCGATGATCGTTGATCCACATCATCCACCTTCAAACAAAGAGTGACTGTCTTCGCAATCCCACGATGTTCGGTCAATGCGTCAATGCTATCTGCCTTTAAGCGGTCGCAGACACACACACACATGCATGCAGAGACTCCAGTTCGGGCCGACTAGGAAGGTCTTGGCACTGGGTGTTTTTCATCGAGCTGCCCCTGACAGGGATTGCGGCCTGTGCCAAGGGTGGCAAATGGCGGAGGAGCTTAGAACTTCTCAGTGAGATCCTTGACCAGTGATGTGGTGTTAAAACACCGGGTCGCGGGCTGCAGTTACCAGTTTTTTGAGGATGTGATAGAGCAAGTAGTGTAGACTCTTGATGATATATATATACCCCGCAAACCTTGTCAGTTCTACAATCCATGTTTTGGGGTGGTTTTATGAATTAGGCGTTCTTTCTGGAAGTCATTCAATTCTTGCTTGAAGAACTGGGCAGAGAATTCCACTGGATAAGACTAGACTTGTCCATTGGCCAAACCTTCCCAGCCAGCCTTCTGCTCGCCCCTTGCACCAGCTAAGGATTCAAGCGCAGTTGATGCTGCCCACAGTGTCTTGGCCGCACTGCCAGGTCATGCCCTAAAAAAGTAAAACACAAGTAAATAATAAAACGTAAAAGCATCCAGCCCAAGGCAGCATGATAAACCTTATGCCACCACTCTTTCTCAGGGCTTAAGCCTCAAGTTGGAAGCCACATTTGGTTTGTCACTGTTGGCGTAGGGGGCTCCTTGGACTATGCGCTCAACGTTTTGCTGGGCATTCAGTGGTCCAAGGGCAGAGGCCCAGTCGACCCAACGCCACCCCGATTCTCGTGATCCAGTGGCCAATAGAATCTCTTCCTCAGGTTCGGTGGTTAGATGCCCCTGGCACCCACCCCAACCATCTTCGAAGCGGAGGTGGTTGGAGCCCTAGGGAGAATAGTGGAGCCATTGGATTTGGCATGATTTGGTGCAAGTTTCCACTACCCTCGACCAAAACCCGGTTGCTTTGAGGTCGTTTCCTTCGGCAGCATCATCAGCGCTTGTGCAAGTGGGCAGGCATGGCCGGTGGCCATCCAGCATCTTGGCCAAGTTGGGCAGTTTGGGAGGGTGGGGGCATGGTGTTGGAGATGCTGTGGGTCATGGCACCAGGATACCTTGGCTGAGCTACCGACGTGTTAGTTCTTTATCGCTACATGGTGGGACCAGGGCTCCAGGTACCATGACCCATCCACATGTTTTTTTTATGATCAAGATCCAGGTTCCATGTTAGTTCAGTCACCACCATTCGAGCTCTTCCCGCTCTTCGCCCGGATGTCAAAGGACGAACGGAGGATCCGAGCGACGCACTCGGGGCGGAGCGGGCTTCGACCCTCGGAGGGGTCAGCTGACGAAATGGGCGAAGCGGCCGAGGGACCATGTGTTTCCATCTTGCGAAGCCGAGGGTAAGCTGGAGCCACCCTGTCACAGACCGAGGATGTCTCAAGAGAAACTGGCGCCGAAACATGAAGAATGGAGATCAATTGAGTTGATTCAGATTCAGGCGCTAGTTGTTCACCAGACGCTATAGGGATAGGTCTTTTGTGGAGACTTGTTGACCTGAAACAAACATGGTTGGCTCAAAAATCCGATCAGGACGTATCAGGACATCGCTATAGGACATAGCGCTTGGATCCGACTGTGCATACTCGGAAGTTGGCATGAGCATCAAAGCATTTAGTTCCGAGCACATGATAACATTCTTTGGAAATTGGGATGGACAGGTATAGTACTTGGTGTTTGCTTCTCTGGCCGAGGTTTGCCGATCTCTTAGAATAGCCGACTCATTTCCATGTGAAATCCTCCCCAAAAGGGGAACCCTCAACGGTCCACCCAGTTTCAAAGCTTAACTTCTATTTGACCAATTGAGAAGCTGGGACGAAGATTTAGACCAGCACGGAAGCAATTTCAGTGACCGACCGACCCATTGGACAAGATGAGGAAACACCTGGTCTGAATTCCTTAAACACCTGGTCTACGTTCCTCCTTCGCCCCAGCCACCCAGCCACCCAGCGCCTACGCCTCCGCCTCCGCCTCTGAAAGCCGCAGAGACCTCCACCGCATGGCCTCAACCCTTGTTTGTGACTTCAAACCAAGTCATCAAGTCCAGAGACCTCCACCGCATGGTCCATCAGAGACCTTAGGTCCTTGGACTTGATGACTTCGCTCCAGATCGATCCCAGCGTCGCCACTGGGACGGTGGCAACCCCGTGACCGGCCGACCGGTGCGGCGGGGGCGAGGACGGTTAGGACGGGACATTGAAGTCGTGGTTAGGTGTTCAAACCTTAGGTGTGAAGTCTTGAGAACTTCACTTGAGGGAACTGAATGACACTGAAGTTGCTGGATGAAATCCTTCAACTCAATGAACTTCTAGCCATGCCATGTGATGTCATAGATGATTCTCATGGAGTTGTTGGTCATGTTCCAGCTCGGAGTTGCTGCTCAAAATGCACCCCTGCGTACCCCTGCGGCCATTGGCACCTGCTCGTAATACACTCCCTGGAATCATCATGGAGTTCACCACTGTTTTGATCTTCCGGGTCCCTTGTTCTTCCACTTCCAGCAAGGTTCGAGGGTGAGTCAGCAAAAAGACATCTCAGGGAGGTTTCACCTCCCTGACTTTGCAGAGGTCACATATAGCGCGGCGGCCAGCGCCTGTGAGAAGGGGCACCAGTGGCCGATGGCCTTCGCCGTGCTACAGCTGCTGTTCTGCGCGAGGGGCTGGTGGATCGGAGGTGTAGACCAACCGGCGAGGCTTGTGTAGACCAAGGGGCAGGCGCCATCCAGGCTACTTAAACCGCTTAAACACATCTTTAAAACCAAGCAAACACTGCTAATATGGTTTTATGACATGGTTTTCACGTGCTGTTTTGATTCAAGCGGATACTGCAGAATAAAGACATTTCGATTGCACGCGGCTCTGCTCGGTAGAGAACATGCCCCACTCACAGGGTCAGCTGCTTCAGACAGCAGTCGCTTCGGTTTCGGTGTCGCTTTCGGTGTCGCCCAAGCTCGGAGAGGATCGGAGGACGGACACCTGGACCTGTGGACAGAGAGCCAGTCCGATCCCTCACACGACGAATCATATCGAATCAGAAATCAAGCACTCCCAAGCACTTCTTATTCACAGAAATCGCGAGGTGACCGACTTCAAATGAGGCGAATGCACTCGCATCAATTGCAGCCGAATGTGGTGACGTTTGGTGCTGTGGCTTGGAGGCAAGGCTAGGCGGCTAAATGCCCACAGGGATATCATGCCTATGGTCTATATTTAATATGTAATTTTTGAAAATTATATTATATATATTATCAAAAGTAATGGTGCATTCAGAAATTCCTGTGCACTACACGTCTTTTAGGAAAAATTACAAAAGTCGCTTGAAATGCACGTTTTCTGATTGTAGCCATTTTGGTAGTATTGGGTGTCATTTTCCCATGTCCAAAGCCTGTCATACGGTGACAAATGAGAACAGCTATGTCAGAAGTACTGAGATACCTTTGTGGGTCGAAGGGTGTGTCCATCCCAAAGGAATGGCGTCCGCTGCTTCCTCAAGAGATTTCGAGCTTGTCAAACCAGCGGGGCTTCATTTGTTGAAGAAAAGCCCTGCGGGACAAATTTGTTCTACCCTGAAATTCCCATCAAGTACACGTTTCTTCCCGTCCAATATACGTCTTTTCCCGTCCTTTACACGTCTTTCCCGGTCAATACACATCTTTCCCCGTCTTAGCCTACAGTTACGAAGGTTTTGAATCTGTGGTGGGACATGTTAGCAGGATATGTACTCAAGAACTGCAAGCCACAGAGGGCTAGACCGGATCGGTATCAAAATGAAATGGGAGATCCGGAAGTTGAGCTGGAAGCGCAGGCTCCTGCACAAGTGACAACCAGGGCCTTCTGGTGTGTTTCAAGACAGGACCATGCTCACAGAATTGCGCAACTTCCTTCTCAAGTGCGCAGATTTCTTTATAGAGTACACGGACATCTCCTCCAAAATCAAGTGCGCAAAAATGTTTGTCCAATGAAGATGCACGTTTAGGTTTTTAAAAAATATAATCGCAGTGGCACTGTTGATGTTACTTTTGTTGTTTCAAGACAATGTATTCTTATATGTTCGACAGGTTCATTTTGGGTGGATGCCCATTCAATGGGCCAAGTTAGGCGGGTTCCGGGTCGTTGTAGATGAAGCTCTGAAAGATCACAGAACTCCTCAGCTATGGTCGACTGCCACCAACACTATCCGTCACTGGGTCAACTCCCTGATGCACGAGTTTTGTACCAACAACACCCTCCCGAAGCACTGGGGGGCCCTGATCCGCCAAACCCATTTGACCATTTCTGGCGACCCAATATGTTGCCTCTCTTCAGGTCATCAGTGCTTGCGAAAAAAGGGCTGCAGTGGCAGCGTGTCTGTGGCCTACTTGCCCAGATGCGTCACCACGAGGCGTTCGAAAGATTACCCAAAATGGCAAAGAAACGCAGGTGGTTGGGTGATACGGATCATCCGTTCCCCGTGTTTGTTTTTTTTGGCATGTTCTGAGATTGCATGTCAAACACGGTTCCAGGAGGGTTCCACATGTTTCCTTTGATTTGGAACCCAGAAACTTGCTTTTCAACCACCCCTGGCATGGCCAGTCCCAGACAGGTCGTGCTTATTAATTACATGTTCTCACGATGAGTGGACTGAGGGTTCTCACCGGTCCGATCTCTTTGTACCTTGGCCACATCATGGCAAGCGAGTCTAGACCCCAAGCAAGTCGGTGTATTGTAAGTCCGGGAGACCCCCTATCACCCCAAGGGGTGGGCGTTGCATGGGAGGTTTCCCTATTTTAGATATTACTTTATACTCACCCAAGTCCAAAAACATCCAAAAAGTGCACCTGATGGGGTCTCGACCTTGGCCAGCTGCAGAGCTTGATTGGGTTTGCTACAGGTCAAAACCATGAGCAGCATTAAGCAGCTAAGCTTGAGCAGTTCAGGGTGTAGCCAATCTCATATGGATTCAACTTGGTGACTCAAAGTCAGTGGCAGAAGATCAGAAAACCAGGATCCGATGAACCCCAATGGATCGAGCATTTGTGACACCGTGCCCAAGCATCAACCTTTTTCTGGTTACATCGGTTCATTCCTATAGGTCTGGTCGAATCGATTGCTCGACCCATTGATGAATGGATTGATTGACTGATTGATCCCCTAGCGCTCCCGGCCCATATCCTCAGGTTCGGTGGTTAGACACCCCAAATCCACCCACCCCAACCATGGGATCAATCGATTGATGGATCGAAGTCCTGCGTGTTTCTCCGCTGCCGCGTGGTGGCCCTGCAACTGCCGCAGGTGCCCCCGAACACCATTTGCTGCAATGCAGCGATCAGCGCCTGCGAGAAGAGTGGTGAGGTGCTTTGAAAAGGGTGTTTCCAGTGGATTTAGTTTCATTTGTCCCCCCCTTCTTAACCTCTTGATCGCCTCGCAAGCTCCTAGAAAGGATAGAAAAAGGAATCCTGGATCCCTGACAGAGGAAGAAGTGATTTCGATGTTCCCTTGTCTTTGATGCAGACATCCAATTGTGGTCTTTTGCAGCCAGATACAACCCAAAACAGATAGAGGCTACCAAATGCTTTGATTGATGTATGTCGATGCGTGGCGAGCGATGCTACGAAAGGAGTCTACCCATGTCGCCACGTCCGCTGCTGCGGGGTCATGTCGCCACATCCCAGCAAGTCACTGAGCAAGTCCACCCAGCGGTGAGCCATTGGACACACGAGAAGAACGGCGAAACGCTGCGTTCGACCACGCCGCGTTCGACCGCGACGGACACCCGGGTGAAGCGACGGACCGAGTGACCAGTGACCTTTCCTCGGTCCAGGTGGGTGCTGCGTTCCAACTCTTTAGGCAGATGCTCTCACAGGGCCCCAGCCACCTGCCGACACGATGGGGGGGGAAAGGGGGCTGTCCGTGCGATGGGGTGTAAAGGCTGGGTCGAAGAAGAAAGAGTTTCTGAAATCAAAAGAAGAGGACATAAGAGGACATTTATTTTTTGAGGATTCACCAATGAGGGGGTTGATTTGTAATGATTGGTTGGTTGGTTTGTCCGTTTGTCATGATGTTTTCCAATCTACCCTTCCTACTGGTCTTCACACATGTATAGATCCATAGGCCAATGTGATATTGTGGCATGAATTGGTGCCCACAGAGCCGACACTCTGTGTTTCATATTTATTCTTTTGGGGGGGGTATTCGAAGACAACACATACACATGGATTCGGATGATGAAGGGAAACAAGACTTGTTGGTGCCGTTCTCTCTTGGCCTTGTTGGTGCTTTTATCTTTCCCTAGGGCTCCAACCATATCCTCAGAAGGTGGTTAGACCCCCAAACCCACCCCAACCATCTTCTCAGGAGGTGGTTGGAGCCTAGGGTTTGTTGAAGACTTCGAATACATTTGTCTAACCGAGCTGGGACAATCCATAGCTCAACTCCAGATGTCTTTGGGACCTGGACTCCCTTGACACAGTCCCTGATCAAAAAGCTCAAAGACTACTCGGTCACTTGGAGGCACGTATCACGTGAGGTAAAAAGGACGTCACCAGAGAACCTCTGGCGCCTGTGCCTATCATTAATTCATCCTTGATATCTGGGCCGGACATGCCCAACCCACCCAAGTCGACCACCGTTTTGGGCGCCTGTTTGTTCCACGCGCCCTTTGGCCCAAAGCCAGTCGCGCACTCGTCGTCCCGGGATCGCGTCGCGCCTAGGGCCTGACACGGTGACGGCCAACGCCTTGATCAGCAGCTGTGAGAAGGGCAAAGCCTGGCGCCAGGCGAACACTGCTACGAGACGGTGAGAGATGGGAGAGCCAGGTGGTTTGTGAGTTGGGTCGGTTGGATTGGATAGATCATATACCCTAATTAGCACCTTCTCAGGAGGTTGGAGCCCTATAGCGATAATTCGATGGATTCCACATTGCCTTGGAATGATGTCAAAAGAAATGGTGACGACCTGCCTGACGAAATGTGTCTAATTCCTCCTAACTGGGGTGCCATGTCCATCCTGTCGTTGTTCATTCGTGAAACACCACCGGACGGACAGAGCGGTTCTGGAACCAGCGGCCTGGCGCGGTGGCGGCTGCGGAGGCCCTGGATCTCTTGAATGCCATGCCCAAGTTCCAGCCCCTTGAGCAGTTGGAGCCGTGACAACTGGTGAAAGACCGTGTATTTTTTTTGTGTTTTGCTTTGGCTGTTTGGACTGTTTTACTGTACCTAGATTTGAAGGACTTGGAATCAATTGGCATTTGGTTCTGTCTCAAAATGGACTTAGCCGACCAGAGCCTAGAGCCATTTGACTAGTTGATGTTAATTGATTTTGTATGGAATAAAAGCCAGGGAGGTATACAGACCCTGATTCATTGGCTTTCAGACTGATAGGTTTGTCCCTGTTTTGAGAGAAGGCAACGGCCTGCCCAAATCCACTTGGCCGTCAGCGACAAGGATAGTTTTCCAGGCGATTTGATCAGCGATAACACTCTCAGCATGTATGCCTCTCACTGTCCATGTTCTTGGAAAATCGGGAATTTTCCGGACGCCTGGTGTGCACGTTGCCTGTAAAAATACATACTATGCCCAGGCTGTTCCCTGACAACATCTCCTACAATGCCGCCATCAGCGCTTGTGAGAAGTGTCGCTGGGAGTGGGAAACTGGAGATGCACGTCTCCCTAAAAGTATCGCACAGTGACAGACTGTCGTGGGTAGCGTCAAACAGGTTTCAACGCCATTGGAATTTTGTGGGGCTGATGGCTGATGCTCAACCT